TAACTACTTTCATCAAATCTTTAAAAATTTGGAAAAAAGTAAGAAAATTAATAAGAATGAATATTATTTGGCAACATTAAATCAAAAAGTAAAATTAAAATGCTTACCTGCAGGGTATCATACATCTAAACCACCATCTAATAATATTTGTGATTATTATAATCAAAAATTTAAATGTTTAGATAAAGAAAAAGATACAATGTTGACATGTGGATATGCTTTTCATTAAAAATGTTATACAGAACGAAATAACAAGTGTAATTATTGTTTAAAATCTATAAAAAGGGTGTTGTATTTAATGTAAAATCCTATATAAAAAGATTAGAAAAAGATGATAATATTAATAATAGCTTATTAAATGATGAAATATTAGATGATGAAAATAAAGAAAAAGAAAAAGAAGAAGAAATAATAGAAGAAAAAATATTGGTAGATTTTAAAAATGCTTTAAAATTTATAAAAACTTTGTAAAATATATTTTACTATATATATACGGGAGCTTTGCAATAGAAAAGGAGGAAACTCTAAAAAATTTAAAATTTTACTTTCTAAGCTAATTATGTTTTTTTTTGTAAAATAAGTCCAGATTTAACATTAATTCAAAAAAAATTTTTTTTAGAGTTTTCTCCCTTTCTATTGCAAAGCTTCCATATTAATTAATAAAACCTTAAAACTTCAGCTTTCATCTAAATTTAACTATTGTGAAGATCTCCATGATCTTTTTTTACTCAAATGTAAAGAAAGAAACAAACGATATATTAATCAAAAAAACTGCGTAATGATAAATTAGTTTTTGAAAAATATCGCATCTTTTTATTATTACTTTAAATCGATTGATATCAAATGTTACACAATATATAAAGATCAACATTTGATTTTATCACCTCGTGATATAATGAATATCCATTATGCTTCATAGGAAGAAGTTCATCTGATAAGCTAATTTTGTTTAGATCATTTTGATATTGTCAAATTTGATTAGTTTAATTGTAAAATTTGATTGGCTGATTTGTAAATCACAAGATATATATTTCAGTAAAAGGTTATAATTGAAGTTATATTAAAGTAAATTAAGGGTTATTTAACAAGTACTGCTTTAAGAAATGATGTTTAAATAAAAAAAAATTCTTTATTTATTAAATAAAACCACGTGTCATCAATAATAATTGCTTATATTAACTATAATAAAAAAAATCGTGATATTGTATCATCCCAAGGAACTAAAATGCCATTGGCAGATTTCTTAGCATCATTATCTTCTTCAGAAATAGGATCAGACTCTTCACTTTCAATATTATTATTTGATTTAGGCCAGCATAAACTATTCAAAAGGGATTGAACATGCTTGTCAACACTATCCTTAATATAATCTAAACAATACAAGCATTTGAACTTATCTTTGCTGAAACATGTGTTGTGATATCATAGGATAAAGCTTATCTGATTGGCTAATGTAGATCAATTGAATTTATATATTATACAGTACTTTTTGGGGAATAAAGTTTTACATAATAAAAAAATTTTTTTTTTACATATTGCTTCATTAGAATGTTAGAACACTGACTTTAAAATAAATCTTTTATAATCTCATATTTAAGGGGTATTAACTTAGTAACGATATTCATAAATAGGCAAAAAAAGAAACTCAAAAGGTCATGCTCGATAGAAATTTGCAAAAGAAAATCTTTAATATAGAAAACTGTTACTGGTCTAGTTATGTCTGAGGGAACGAATAACAAGATGACACTTCCTGGTTATATTAAAAAAAATGATATTATATGCTTAAATTGTTATAATGCAATTGTTGTTAATTTGTCTTCTGAATTTCAGAAACATGCATTGAATGATCATAGTCATGGTGAGCCAGAAACTTCTAATGAAGATAATATTTTATCTTTTTCACAGGCTATAGGAATAGTTACAGATATTCTCTACAAAAGAGAACGTAAAGAATTGCCGCCAATTTGGATATTTAAAGAATTTCGTGCGGTTATGGAATCAGAAGATAAATGGTTGAAATCTTTTTTTGATGAATTATATTTATCAACAAATCCATCAAAAAAAAACAAAAATACAATGGAAAAAGTATCAAGGCAACTGGTATTTTTATGTTATTTTATTTGTGATATTTTAAATAAATTTGTTAATAATGCAAAAAGAGATCTAGGAATGTATTTAGATTCTACTAAAACACCAAATTTAATGATAGACACTATAGTAATATAAGGCCTGACAATAACATCTTGTTCAATTTTCTACTATAAGGATGCTGTATCTGAAAAACATCTGATAACTGTGGAATCAAACCTTGCAGATAGTATAGATAATGCATTTATTTTAAATATTGATGATTACCATAGCATTCACACTAAAAGAATGCCTAACACAACCACAACATCAATTGCAGTACATCTCGCTACTATTTTATTTAATCCAATCAAGAATGAACCAGTAATATCAAAACAAAATATTCATAATCCTGCATTGGTTGATGCTTTGTTAATCAAAATTAGAATTGAAAATTATTTTATGTCAATATATTCGCTTTCTTATAACCGACGTTAGGGATTTCACTTTGTGAATAATAAAACAAAGCTTGAAGAGTTAACAGTCCATAGTTATGATATCTGTTTAAAAGAAAAAGGAACACAAGATCAATAAAAGATACTGTACTTGTGGATCTCGTGGAGAATAATGAAAGCTTATATTAATGCTATTAATGTTGTTACTTTCATTCTGACAATAAATAGATATATTAAAGAAGACAACGTTATCCCAGTCATTGTTAATTGGCCTGATCAAATATTCTTAAGAACTGCTATATTACAGTATCTTGTTTATGGTAACTCTTCTAAAATTACTGATAAAGTTTTATCATTCCTTCTAATGCTAGGTCCTCAACATATCTCACTGAATAGCTGTAAGTTAATATTTCTCCAATATTAACCATTTTTCTCAGTAATGTACAAATATTAATATATTTGGTGAAAAAAATACTCGCTCAAAAGCTGAAACCATAGTGTATAAATTTAATATTAGAACTCTTACGCGATGCATGGTAACAAATTGCGATGATGGGCAGAATATATAACACTTAAGGACCTGCTAGATAATGCAATTCCACTGATTCTTAATATTTATGCTTTATTTTTTTATGCTAGCGATTTTAAATCTTACATTGAATCTTGTTTTCGTGTTTGGTCTATTTTTCTTAGATTTAACCATAAAAATTATACTAAAGCGCCTCTGATATTTTTTTCAAACATTTTTTACTGACAATCAAAAGATCATTTAATTATAAAGATGATGAATACTGAATTAGCAAAATTCTCTGATATGCCTGTGAAAATCTTTCACAGTATTTTATGATGTAATACAAAGAAGCATCTTACAGCAGATCAAATAATAAAAGAAGGGTGATATATCAACTATTTACGATTTAATGATTATGGCTTTAAGGAAAATTTTGTTTATACTTCAATTTGGGTAGTGTATCAATATTCTTCTCAGAATATTATAACTTTAAACACAGAAAACTGCATGCTTTCTGTTAGATTGTTTTTCGAATATTTATACTTGTATTTATCATAAGAAGATTCAACTTTTAATTTCACTATAGGTTACTATGAAACGTCTATTAAAAAAGAGCAAGAAATCTAATGTTGAAAACAGTTTTCCTATACCAGCAATAAAAATGAAGAAAGCGGGACTTTGTTATTTATCTATAGGATATAATTCTTCATATAAGCCTAGTTAATCTGGTTGCGATTCTTCTAATTATTCTATTACTAATGCTAAAATCACCGTAAAAACAGGTCAGGTATTACGTGTGGCCATAGATATCACAACACATGTTTCAGCAAAAATGAGTTCAAATGCTTACATTGTTTAGATTATATTAAGGATGTGTTGACAAGCATGTTTAATCCCTTTTGAATAGTTTATGCCGACCTAAATCAAACAATAATATTAAAAGTGAAGAGCCTGATCCTATTTCTGAAGAAGATGATGATGCTAAGGAATTTGCCGATGGCATTTTAGCTTCTTGGGATAATATAATATCACGATTTCTTTTATTATAGTTTTATGAGCAATTGTTATTGATAACATGTGGTTTTATTTAATAAATAAAGAATTTTTCTTTTATTTGAATATCATTTCTTAAAGCAGTATTTGTTAAATGACCCTTAATTTACTTTAATATAATCTCAATAATAACCTTTTACTGAAAGAGCACTCTTATCCTAGACCTTGGATTTAGGGTAATATCCTAGACCCCTCTTCCCTTAAATATGATTGGTTCACATCAGCCTATATTTTTGTGTACCATTTATCTTAGAAAATATTTTGTTTATTTTTGCATTTCGCACAGACTTTTAAATATTAAAAAATAGAAATTATTCTATATTTTTTTGCACTTTAAAACATTAAAGAATAAATAAAGATTTTTTAATAATAAATCATTGTAAAAAATAACTATTTAATCTTGGAAATACAAGTTTTATTAAAATGAAAATTTATTTGAATTTTATATGCAAAAAATCAATGTTAGAATTAATAATTATATTTTATTTTTAAATGCTATAAAACGCGTTTTGGTATTATCACAAAAAAATTAATAACTTCATAACCATTCAAGATAGATCCACAAAAATTATTGTGCAAGTATTTCCATACCGCTGAACAAATCTTTTATTTGTTTTCTTTGACCAGAATGTTCAATTACGCCTTGAAAATAAAAAAAATAAAACGCGTTTTAATAATATTACAAAAAATCAATAACTCCACGCTAGACGTGCAAAAATTAATATGCAAATATTTCCATACCTGCTGAATAACTTTACTTATGCATTTTTCACTTATTTAGTTTGACCTAAGTGCTGAACTTACGTTGTGAAATCTCTATACAATACAAAAAACACGTTTATTATGAAATTACTTATGAAATTGTCACAACTTTATAATAATATTCTACACCTGAAGTCCTGAACTGCTGTTAAAGTTTTATTAATTAACAAAACTTTTAAATATATTTTTAAAACATAAAAAAAGAATGGGAGAAGAAAAAGATTTATTATTACTGAAATATATATCACGTGATTCACAAATCAGCCAATCAAATTTTAACGTAAATTTGTAAATTTTGTAGACCCTGTTAAATATCAATTGTTGCCACGGTTATATCTAAAAATCACTATTTACACTGCGACACAGCCATGCTCACTTTCGGTTTAACTAAACGCCTGCCTACCGGCGGTAATTGTATCTCGAATACACTTAGATCTGGTCGCGTTGCTCGTTATATAACACATGTTACTCGTGAAATGGACTTTTACAATCGGAAACGAGAACTTGTCAAGTTTAAAAATGCATTTAATGCCAAACCGGAGCTTCATATCATTCTAGGTCCTCCTAGTACTGGGAAAACTGCACTGATCCATGAGGTAACGAGTAAAGGCGATTTCAACCCTATTTTTATCAACTGTCGTGAAGGACAATTTGACACACCAAAGAGGATATACGATTCAATATCTTCTCAATTCGAGCCATTTTTCAAAAAATATACGGATCTCTTTAAAAAGTTAATTGAACGAGGAGAAGTCAGTTACTTTATGAATGATATCCAGTTAAAAGTTAAGCCATTTGGCGGGGATCCATTTAGTGAGAGAG